ACCATTAAATTATTGATATTATTTACTATTCTTCTTTTTAACCCAAGCGCTTAACAAATATGAATTAATACGGTCAACCTCATTTCTTATTACTTTTATGTGAAAAGATTTGTAAGTGAAATATGTTACATTATACAATTCACCTCTCTCTGATATGTGAGAGCTCTTCATGTTTTATAATGAATAAAATGTGGGTTGAGTTTTATAGTGATATGACTGAACGATGAAGGCATGTGGTTGTTGTTGGTGTAGGTGACATCATGGTGGCACTGGGTGGAGGTGATGTTGTGGTGAAATTTTTGAGATAGTTTGGCTATGGAAATAGCCAAGTTGTGAAGATAATTATACCATAAAGATAACTTAATTATAGAAATAGGTTGGCGATGGAGATAACATAGTTGTAGAGATAGTTCATTGTGGAGATAACTCAGTTTTCGAGATAGCTCAATTATGGAGATAACTCACCCATGAAGAAAACTCAATGTAGCTAATATTTTTTCACCAAGAGAGGAATAAATTGGTTTCTCAAAATTTTGAATCTTTTTAAACCAAATCCTGAGATGTTGGGTCTTTAAATTTTTCCAAACTTTCAAAGAAACACAAGATTAATGAAATGGCATAATTACCCACCTTTTGGACTAACCACCCTTACTTGCAAAATGACATAATTACCCACCTTCCAATTCATGTTATGAGACTCATACATTTAAAAATATTAAAATGGACACATCAATCATGTTAAATGAGTGTATGAACATGCCAACACGTCAACATNCTATGCACTAATTCAAGCAATGTTGAATTTTGTTCAATATTAGGAAAATGATTTCTTGTTATCTTTGTCAACATACATGTTCTGCATTTTTCTATGTTCAAATCAAAAGGAGGAATTAAATCAAATTTAGACATTGAATATAATTTTTTATAATTAACATGCCCAAGACGAAAATGTCATAAAGAAGAATCATGATTGACATCATAAACATAGTCTTTCACATAATTTATTACACTTAATTTGAACATATTATTACAAAGATATCCTAGTCCAACAAATACAACACCCTTAGATAATATGAATTTATCAGATTCAAATACCAATTTAAATCCCAATCGATTCAAGATTACTCCATACACTAAATTTCTTCTTAATTTTGGAGCATATAATATATCTCTTAAAACAAGTGATTTTTCATAACTAAATAATAATTCTATTTGTCCAACACCGAGGACTTTAACCATAGAATCATTTCCCATGTAAAGAACTTCTTCATTGTCATCTTCCTTAAAAGTTTTGAATAGACAACGATCTTTACAAACATGTCTTGAAGCCCCTGAATCGATCCACCATGAATCATCGGTCTGCACACAAAAGATTTCAGAAACCATCTCCACAAAATTCAAAACAGAATTATGTGCAATTTGTGTACAATTACCTTTTTTCGGTTGGCCTTGGCTAGACTCCCCTTGACCTTGTTTAGTGCCATTCTTGGTCATCTTCCTTTTCCAGATTGTGCAATCCCTCTTTAAATGAACAGGTTTGCCATATTCCCAACAATTTGCTTGTTGACTTTCTTTACCAAATTTTGGCCTTTTGTTCATCTTTCCTTTATAGAAATTATGAGGCATTTTCTTGTTATTTGGTATTGTCTTTTTTTTCATCTTCCACCATATTAACAGTAGAAGAATTAGGATGATTGGAATCCTTTTGACCATCTTACAAACGGACCCCTTCTTCTATCCGAAGATGAGCATCCAATTGTTCAACATTCATATCATCTTTATTATGTTTTAGAGAATTTCTAACATCTTTCCAATTTGGTGGTAGTTTGTCAATTATAGAAGAAACAATGAATGTCTCATCCATTACAATATTATGTTGCTTGAAACTTCCTAGGATTATTTGGATTTCATGAAATTGTTCCATTATTGGTCTAGCATCAATCATTTTTTAATTATTAAAATTACTAACTAGGAATTTCTTGCTTGATGCATCTTTAGAAATGTATTTGCTTTCAAGTTTATCCTAAAGTTCTTTTGCAGAATCCACATATTGATATATGTCAAATAAAGGATCAGACATATCATTCAAAATGTGACCACGACAAACATAATCATCATTCTCCCATTTGTTCCTTTTTCGTTGTTCCTCCAATGTCTCGTTTTCGCTTTCTTTGTGGGTTGGGAAGAATTTAGAACATATGCCACGTTTAGAGCTAAGAGAAGGAAATGCATCTTCTTTTGCCATCGTCAGAAATCAACATCTTCAAACTTGTCTAATTTGTGAAAGTTTGCATACATCTCACGAATTGTTGTCATCTTAGAGAATATGTTTCAAACCTAGTCTTTAACTTATCTATTTTATTATTTCTGTGACTACTATTATATGGTTTATTACTATATTTTGGGATGTTACAGTTATACCCAATAGTTGGAATAATAAAAATCACATTCTATATAAAGTTATTGATGGTTTGAAAGCTAATGTAAATTGTAATTTATGATAGTCTAATTTGATTCCTCTCTCACTCTGAGATCAAAACATCCAGTAAAAGTATAACCAATGAAGGAATTTCTTTTTCTTATTAAGGTTTGGCTACTTTCTTTGATTTGTGGTAGTAAACATTTCATCCCAGATGATATGAAAAACTCTCAATAACCTATAAAGCTTATGTTCCAATCCTGCAATATTCTAAAGACTATATTGGCTCCTTCACCATATTTCCTTTCTCAACTACCATCGTGTTGATTGAACTTCTAGCAGATGTAACACGAGGAATAGATGAAACAAGACAGATACATTTATTCGTGCATTGTTTAAATTAAAGAAAAAAGAAAAAAACTGACCTTTGTGTACCTCCACTTGACAAATCTGCATAACCACGGTTAATATCCATATCTGCAAAATGAATGCATAATACAGGAATATACTGACAGTAAGCGGACTTCATCTGGGAAAAAAACAGAGGAATTCTCACCAGGATTGCTGTCATTAATTCTCACCAAAAACAAAGCATAACTGAACTTGTGCAGGTAAAAAAGTTATTAATTTATTAATCCTTGGAATCAGTTATGAAAATAGCATCAATAATTTATCAAATTGTAAGAAAAGGAATGTAAATATTACAACTTTACCACAGCAAAATAAATAAATCTAGTTAGTTGACTATCAGTAAATTTACTAATGAATAAGAAGGCTTCCATTAACCGGTTCATCATAATAACTCATTCATTCTATCGGCATATCATCTAGATAGTGATTAGTGAATATGAAGTCAGCAAATCACAAACACATACAAGGGACCTGTTCAGTTGAATTATTTTTAAGGACAGAACATTTTAAAATTTTAAAACGGTTTACAAAATTTAGTTTCCTGGAGAAAAGTAAGAACTGCACAAAAAAAGCGTTTGATGCCTTTCTTAGAAGCTAAATGAGTTGCGTCTAAAAAGGTATTTTAAAAAGGGNACATCTCACGAATTGTTGTCATCTTAGAGAATATGTTTCAAACCTAGTCTTTAACTTATCTATTTTATTATTTCTGTGACTACTATTATATGGTTTATTACTATATTTTGGGATGTTACAGTTATACCCAATAGTTGGAATAATAAAAATCACATTCTATATAAAGTTATTGATGGTTTGAAAGCTAATGTAAATTGTAATTTATGATAGTCTAATTTGATTCCTCTCTCACTCTGAGATCAAAACATCCAGTAAAAGTATAACCAATGAAGGAATTTCTTTTTCTTATTAAGGTTTGGCTACTTTCTTTGATTTGTGGTAGTAAACATTTCATCCCAGATGATATGAAAAACTCTCAATAACCTATAAAGCTTATGTTCCAATCCTGCAATATTCTAAAGACTATATTGGCTCCTTCACCATATTTCCTTTCTCAACTACCATCGTGTTGATTGAACTTCTAGCAGATGTAACACGAGGAATAGATGAAACAAGACAGATACATTTATTCGTGCATTGTTTAAATTAAAGAAAAAAGAAAAAAACTGACCTTTGTGTACCTCCACTTGACAAATCTGCATAACCACGGTTAATATCCATATCTGCAAAATGAATGCATAATACAGGAATATACTGACAGTAAGCGGACTTCATCTGGGAAAAAAACAGAGGAATTCTCACCAGGATTGCTGTCATTAATTCTCACCAAAAACAAAGCATAACTGAACTTGTGCAGGTAAAAAAGTTATTAATTTATTAATCCTTGGAATCAGTTATGAAAATAGCATCAATAATTTATCAAATTGTAAGAAAAGGAATGTAAATATTACAACTTTACCACAGCAAAATAAATAAATCTAGTTAGTTGACTATCAGTAAATTTACTAATGAATAAGAAGGCTTCCATTAACCGGTTCATCATAATAACTCATTCATTCTATCGGCATATCATCTAGATAGTGATTAGTGAATATGAAGTCAGCAAATCACAAACACATACAAGGGACCTGTTCAGTTGAATTATTTTTAAGGACAGAACATTTTAAAATTTTAAAACGGTTTACAAAATTTAGTTTCCTGGAGAAAAGTAAGAACTGCACAAAAAAAGCGTTTGATGCCTTTCTTAGAAGCTAAATGAGTTGCGTCTAAAAAGGTATTTTAAAAAGGGTTATATCAGAGAAGCTTTTTTCCTCAAATTTCATTGAATTCAAACACACCCTAAGTATTACATACTCAACACTCTAGAAGTTGAAACTGATGGAAGAACTAAAATCAGAATAAAGGTTACTCATATATCCTATCTGGGAGTGGACAAGAAGAGTTGGCAGTCAGATAATATTATAGATATTGATGTAAAAGCATTCAGTTATTCAACTCGATGTTAGTTTTCTATTTTTGTTGCTTGAACAGAAGGCTTTAGAGCCTATATATAGTAGTCGTGACTGTTTGGTGAGATAATAATCAAGATCAGTTTTACGTTTAAGCTTATCCTTATCTTTTCTTCATATGCAACAAAATCCAATTGATACAAGAAAAAGTCTAGAAAACAATAATTTATTTGTAAGATGTTAATTAGTATCGTACGTAGGAATACAAAAATTTATTCCATTAAAAGGGAACAGAAGAATAATGTTGCAAAGCTGCATAAAATCAAATTGCAGTTCATGCTAAAAAATTAACACAGCAACTATAAAATTTTCAAATTTTCAGAAAAGTAAAATGAAACACATACATCATTACATAATAACTTTTGCACCACGAGCTTTGAGTTTCTCCATTATCTTCTCCCCTTCTTCTTTTGAAACACCTTTCTTTATATAAAAAGGTGTTTTATCCACCAAATTCTTGGCCTCCTTCAAACCTAAATCACTAAAGCCCCGGACTTCCTTGATGATTTTAATTTTGCAAGCCGCTTCGTAGGACTCCAGTTTCAATTCAAACACAGTTTTTCCCGGCTTTTGCTCCTCCTTGGCCGCAGCTGGTGCTTTCGCTGCCATTCCAGCCAAATTTCCCGATCCTGCTTTTATAAATTCCACATTAGGCATCTCCTTCACACCCATTTTCTTCATCAGCACAAGACCCAATTTTGAGGCTTCAGCTACTGTAAGAGATGCTATCTCATCAACAAGCTGATGGAGGACCTCGATGATCATTGGGATCAAATGTAGCGGGATCAAAATCAGCTGGAAGACTTCTTGGGTAAATTTCCACTTCCTCTACATCCTCCTCCTCTTTCCTTGCAGGCTGACCAAAATTTCTTGAAAATGCATATATGTTACTAGAGTTAAGCTGCACTATGGTTGGCTGAAAAGTTTGTATATACAAACCATGGGGTAAATAATGCCTTATTCTTGAAAGCAAGCTCATTCTCAACTGATTGTGATACAGTATCTAAGAATGCAAAATCAATCCAGTTTAAGACCCATCGTGTTCGCCTAATCCAATAAATAAATTGACCCTGAAAGCAGAAAAAATTAGATTTGTGCATTCAAACTCAAACTGGTTCCTCCATCTCTTGATAGCCCTTGCGAGTCATAACAGGTTTCACCTTCATCATTTGCCTATACCTATTCCATATGCCATCCTTTATTTTCTTGTGCACCACATCCTCCTTCAACAACAAGCCACCCTCCCCGGCAGCGCGAAGCGCATCACAAACCAACCCATAAGTATACTCTCTGGGCACGGATCCGCCATCAACCAACTCAACAAGAAACCCCCAAGCCTCAACAACCCTCCCAGCTTCACAAAGCGCGTGAATGATGGGAGTATATGAATTCGAACCGGGAACCCCGTGCCCCAACCTCTGCATCTGCCTCAACATCTCAACACCCTTATCAATCTCATTCACAGCACTATAGTACCTTATGAAAGACCCGTAAGTAACATGGTTCGGAACAACACCCCTTGTCTTCATATCATCGAACAACTCCAAAGCCCTCTCCACGCGCAACGTCTTACAGCACCCATCAATTAGGGCATTGTAAGTCACAACATCGGGAACCAACCCTTTGAAAAGCATTGACCGGAAGAGACGCCCGGCCTCGTAAATCCGTCGGCGCGTGGCCTTCCTGCAGCCGGTGAGCCTTCCGTAGCGGCAATAAGAGCTTATGAGAATCGTGTAAGTGAAGGTGTCGGGCGGGCACCAGAAACCGGGAAGCTCCATTTGCTGGAGAAGGTATCGCGCCTTGGTGAAGTTCCCCACACAGCATAGCGCGTAAATCAGCGTGTTGTAGGAATGGGTATCAGGTTTGCAGCGGAACTGTTTCATTCGGTGGAAGGTGAGCAAGGCTTCGTCGGCGAGGCCGTGCTCTCCGAGGAGTTTGATGACGCACGTGACAGTGGCGGTGGTCACATGAGGGCACTGTTTGAGGAAATTCCAGAGGTGTTTGGTTGCGCTGGCACGGGCAAGTAGGCATGCCAGCTCGCGGCACGTGGCTTCGGAATGGGCAAAGGCGAAGCGGGCTTCGACCCAGCGGAAGAACTCGAGGGCCTTTAATGAGCCGAGATGGACCTTGTAGGGGTCTTGGTGGGCAGCTGGGCCTAAGACGAGAGTGTTGTTGCAGAACTTGTGATGTTCGAGGTTGAGGTTGCGCTGCCGCAGCGGGGTGCGGTGACGGAAGCCGCTCTGGCGACCGATGGAGCGAGGTGATTGGAGGGTGTAGCGGGAGATGGAGCGGAGAACTTCCGTGACAGCGTCATTTGTCCATGGCGCAGCTGACGGTGACGGTGACGGTGACGGTGGTGGTGCATCGAATGGAAGGTCTTTGATTACCAATACCAGTACTTGGTTGGTAAGGTGTTTGTTAAAATGACGCACAGGGTTTGTTACTCCCATTTACGTTTTGCAAGCGTTGCAATTTGAACCGTGTGTTCACCCTAGTAAGGAAAAATAAAAGAAAAATAATCGTTGGAAACCAAAACGTATATCTGCCCTTACGGGTTTTTAATAATATTTTAATGAGGGGTAAAAGGGAAACTTTTGCAAGAGATGTGATCCTATTTGTGTTAATATATGTGATTATATAATTCAAAATGTATTTGACATTATTTTATATAGTGTGGATATTTTAAAATGTATAATACAGTTTTCAAATTTCATCTTGTAGTTTAAATTTTTTAAAAAGGTTGTAGTTGAAATTTTATCTTGTACAATTGTATTTTTAGTTTTGGGCTTTTAGATACAATTTTGAAAATGTGTCTGGCAAAAATGAAATTTAAGTGGACTTTTACTCAATTCTAAAACATTTTATTTTTACTTTCATAGAAAAGAATTTAAATATTGAAAAAAATACTCATTATTTTTAGGATACACAATCATTCCAATATAGTAAATATTGACATAATTGAACTCATGTTTACTGTATCATGTATATTTTTTTAAAGAGAAAATTAATGTTAACATACAATCTTGAAAGAAACTTTTTATCTTTTTTTTTTTAATTTTGTAAACTTAAAATCTTAGTAATCCCTTTAATAGATACATATAACAATTACTAAAGATAAAACATAATATTCAATTTTCTCAATCATTGAAAATAAATAAAAAATTAAATTAAACTTTTTGAGCTGAAAATGTATTTTTTTTTATAATTCTTAAAACAAAATATATCAATAATAACTATATTAACTATTTATTTTTAAGTTAATGTGTAGTCCTAACATCATGCAATCACCCATCTCATTAAAATAAAATAAATTTTTGCTTATGGCATTCATGATTAGAAAGATAGGAGGAAAGAGATAATAGAGCAATAGATGTATGTACCTACGCTAACGTTACAGTTACAACTACAGCTACAGGTGCTAGGGTTCAGCACTACCCAATCAAGTATTGTTCCTATTCTGATTTTCACTATACATAAAGGTACAATTTATTTTTGAGGGATCAACTCTGTTCTTTATAAGGAGTCCAGATCAATTTGCTAACATCAACCTCCAGGCCGCCCCTTCCAGCAGCTTTAAGATGGCGATCCAACACTTTGGGATCAGCACAGATCACATGTTGACCTTTCCTGTATTGAATCAACTCTAGACTCTGTAGGGTTGTTAATATATCTTCAGCTTTAATGGCAGTCATATCACTCAGTTCCTGTTCCAAACCAAATCATAAGTCATTCATTCATTCAATAAAAACCACACCACTCTCATTGCCCTCCAAACATTCACATCAAGCTACCTTGATAGAAATGTTCCCCTTGTGCTTCTTCAGAATGTCCAAGAGAACCCTGGTCCAATATCCTCTGTAGCTTAGCAGTCCAAGATCTGAAAGGGGTCTTTCAGGTGTCCCAACTTTGCTCTCCTTCTTCGACAGTTCGTATGCTTTTCAATCATTCAAATTTCAACAACCAGTTTCAGTCACACTTCATCACATATACTCTAGCCACTGCTAAATAACAAAAGGCCCATTTTACAGAAAAAGAGAGCTTACAGAAAGCAATTAGAAATTTGCCATAGCCTTTCCTTTGGTAAGGTGGAAGGGTGAGGATACATGCCAAATTGTAAGATTCCTCGGAATGTTTTTCCTTCACAATAAAAAAGTAAACAAAATCAACAAGATTAACCATAACGTGAAGAAAACAATAAACAAATAAGTATAATTAGAACCAAGTTCTTTTCTCATAATGCACTACTTGGTAAATCAGCAAGGAGAACCACTGGTTACAGCAATGAAAACCTTTATCAGTTTCAAAGAGACTACTACTGAATTGAAGGAACTTTAAACGAACTTAAAAAAAGATTAAAAGGTAACATGAAAAAGATTGAACTCGAGACATCAAGAAAATGACAAGGATGAATCACTGCACCGCAAGCAAATTTGAAAAACATATGTACATATATAAATATAAACACTAGTCCGACCAATGAACCAATGACCTAACTGAGATAATCAATGGTCCAAGTTTTAAAACACTGACTAAAAAAGCAAACATTAATCTATTTGCAAGAATAAAAACGTATTTAACCCATAGAACTGCCTGAAAATTGATTGGTCCCACAACTTCAAAGGGCGTTTAGGATACGCTTTAGAAAAGAGACAATTTAAATGGCCTCTTAGAAGTAAAATAAAAAATTCTGAAACGTCTTACTGAAGCAAAATATTGACAGCATTGTAATATTTTTTACCTTGGAGAAATAGCCAACCATGTGACATCCTCGATCATCACATTCACACAAAACATAAAACAGAAACAGATCTACATCATAATAGAGGGTCTTGTGATCAAGAAATAACTTGGCCAAATAACAAAGATTCTGCCCATAAACCTTGTTCTTCTTTCCATCAACCTGTTTCCAGATATAATAATAATAATATTTAAAATAGTAATAAAAAAAATTCAAACTTCGATAATAATCAAGGACTAATAATAAAAAATGTGCAGATAATTATTGCAACTTGCAACTGCCAGCAAAATAGACAGCTGCTATTTTCTAAATCGAAATAATTTCCAATATTTTAGATGTTTTAACTTGCATTACATATCATTTAACTATTTCAAAACAAAATCACCTATTTTATTTTAATGAGAGAAATAATTAAAAAAATTATTGGAGTGCTGGTGCTCATCAGGTTAGGGAGCCGCAGAAACTTGGGCAACCATCAATGTCTTTAAAAAAGAACTCTACCAGAATCAAAGGAGAATAATGAATTTTTATAAACAAATTGTGAGTATTCATTGCACAAATATTTTAAGATAGGTGACAAAAAGAAAAAACTTGATTTTGAACTAAAAAAATTGAAGATAATGGAATGAGTACTAATGAGAATAAAAGGAGGAATTTGTGATATAGAGAACAGTGTAAAAAATGTACCTCAAACATTGACAGTGTGCCACTTCTATATATCTCATCACCAGGGGGATGCTTCAGATCGCATTTCCTCTGCATGAATAGGAAGCCAACGTTAGCACTGAAAATGGTGCTTAAGTGAGCATTGGGAATACAAAACGGGCAATTTCTTCAAGTTCTTGGGGTCCCAACGGAGAGCAAAGAATAATAAATACCAGCAGATGAATTTTACAGACTGATAGGATATGAATGTGGGTCTTAGAAGGAAGGGAATACAATAATAAAATATAGTTCTTAGAGGGGTTGAGGGGTCAGGACAGTTAGGAAGCAGGGGGTAGGATAACTATCCTGGTGGGGTGTTATGTTCAGCTTAGGAAGAGTCTTTAAATAGGGAAATGGTTGTCTAGGGAGGGGACGTTTTGAGAGATCATTGTTGACAGGTATTGACCTGTGAAGAGGGTTAAGCCTCTATATCCAGATTGTATAGAACATTCTTTCTATGAATAATACTCAGTTTCATTCTTTTCTTTGTGTTTTGTGGTGAGAAGTGAGTTCTTGATTAGGTTCCCAGTTCAGGAACCTATCACAGACTGTTTCATATTAATACTCTTTTATCAATTTTCAAGTGGTAAAGAAACTAAAAACATTCATTTCACTCAAAAAGGTTCATTTTCAAATAAGTAGAAAGAAGAAATAAATTTTAAAGATGACTAAATGATTAAAAGTGCAATCCTGAGTATGAGTAAATTTCAAATGGCAAACAATACAAAACCACAGAATGTTTGGAATCCCATAGAAAGCTACAACAAATAGAACTTCAAAGAAGAATAAGCATCATAGGTGCAGATTATGATCACCAAAAACTAAGCAGTTTTTGTACCAATACTGCAATAAGTAGGACAAGCATATAAAATTGGTAAAAGGAATTTTGCTTTTTTGAAGAACAAACCTTCCCCTCAGATATGTTCAGTGCCTTAGTTTGTGTATACAGAGCTATCTGCTAGTATTTGTACTTCGCTCAAAAAAAAAAAAAAGGTTGCATACACCAACAAAAAAATATAAAGTGAAAGGACATTTTCAGCCGCAGCTCACCATATGCCTCTGAAGCTGTTCTTTGCGCTTCATGAAATTGAGGCAAAACTCGCAAAAGTACAGCCTCAAACAGTCATTGTATTCTGGTGGGAATGGGGAGAAGTACCATGTCTCGATCTCATATCTTCCAAGCTCAATAGTAGCTATATTTTTCACTTTTGTAAATTCCTCATGTTCTCGTAAACTGGCAGCATCAAGCTCCTCGTGACCCTATAATTTAACAATACATATATAAATTTAAAATACAATGAACAAATTGATAGTTGAAGCAGGAACAAACTGAACAGCCAGTAGAATATAGTGGATTCAACTTGAACACACAAGAAAGCAATGATCAGCATCCAGCTCAAACATAATAATATTACAAATTCACAATTGCATGTTTCATGCAACTTCAATGTTACCATTAAAGCTACTCATGCAAACAAGGATAGAGTTTTTGAAGCACCTATGCATGAGTTGTCTTAATGTGTTTGCAACTTAGGGGCCTCTAAACTTTTTTTGTCGAACAGTTTTTTTCATGAAGAAAAACTATTATAACATACATCCATTATCCAATACCCATCTATCATATTCATGTTTGAAAGTTGTTAGAAATTCAGCTTATGATGTTCAATTTTTTACAGAGGAAATAGCTTCTTCGAAATAAGTGAAAAAAAAAACTGGAGCTTATGATAACCTATATCAGCTTATTTTCTAGGCAGCAAATTTCCGTTTTCTCAATTTATCCCCAACAATTGATTATCTAAAATACAACCAATTGCAAATAATTCAATACCTTGTTTTTAATGTTACTACAGAAGAAGTAATTCTTTTATGCAATCCAAACAAAGTAGATTTTAAAATCATTGTTCACCTTACATATCCTCAAAAATAACTTATTCTATATAGTCAATCATAACAATAGTTAATTGTATACTTAATATATTTTTTACAGCTAATCCAAACACGCTGCTATACATCATTTTGAAGTAACACTCAAATATTGATAAGATATTCAATCAGAACAGTATGAACAAAGAGTTGTGCCAGAGGGAAATTAACAATGTATAGCTTGCGTTTTGTA